TTTTTTGGTGGACACGGGATCCCAATTTTCATCATTACTTAAACCTATGGGAAAACTATCTGGAGAGAAGTTTGGGTACAAGGAGCAAATGGCACAGAGAGACATAAATGGAAAAGGACATAAAGAAAGGACTTTAAATTTGGCCTTGGGAGTAGTTAAACATCGATTTTTGGTCCTCCCTAATGCCCCATGTAACTTGATGGGAAGAGATCTCCTCCACAAGTTAAGAGCTGGCATTCAGTTCTTGGAAGGAGACATGACTGTAACCTTGAGACAACCCACTGTACAAGTGCTTATGGCAGCAGTAGATGAATACCTCCTTTACGAGCCAGTCTCAAAACCAGAGGAGACAAACGGGGGGAGCCTTCTCCAAATCCTACAGGACGAGTTTCCCCAGGTCTGGGCAGAAGGGAAGCCCCCTGGCTTGGCCAAGGAACAACCTCCAGTGGTGGTACAATTAAAGGCGACAGCTATGGCTCTTCGCGTTCGGCAGTACCCCCCCTTCCCCGGGAAGCAAAGGAAGGGATCAGAAAACACATTAACCGCCTCCGAGGAGACGGGATCCTAGTTCCTTGCAAATCTCCATGGAACACACCTTTGCTGCCCGTCAAAAAGGCCGAGACTGGGGAGTACCAACCCGTCCAGGACTTGCGGGAAGTTAATAAACGGGTTGAAGATATCCACCCAATGGTGCCTAACCCCTATACCCTACTCTCCCTCCTGGGCCCCAAAAGAACTGTGTATACCGTCTTAGATCTCAAGGATGCATTTTTCTGTGTATCTTTAGCAAGGGAATCTCAGCCCCTTTTGGCTTTTGAGTGGTCCGACACACAGAAAGGGTTTCAAGGCCAGCTCACCTGGACAAGACTTCCCCAAGTGTTCAAGAATTCGCCCGCTATCTTTGACCAGGCCCTACATGAGGATTTGCGTGAGTACAGAACCTCCAACCCAGGAGTCACTCTGTTACAGTACGTTGATGACTTGCTAGTAGCTGCTGAGGACTATGAGTCATGTTTGCAGGGGATGAGAGCTCTTTTACAGACTCTGCAGGAAAAAGGGTATTGGGTGTCAGCGAAGAAAGCACAGCTCTGTCAGAGCCATGCTACTTATCTAGGCTTTGATCTCCACGAGGGAGTGTGTTCACTGTCTGAGTCCAGGAAACAGGTGATCACCCGATACCCCCACCCCACCACGTCCCGACAAGTAAGGGAGTTTCTTGGGACGGTGGGCTACTGTAGGCTGTGGATACCGCGGTTTGCGGAGATTGCCCGACCTCTCTACAAACTGGCAAAAGGAGGGCTCACTATGATAGAGTGGACAGCTGAGGCAGAAGGAGCATTTCGGGAATTACAAATAGCCTTACTGAGTGCCCCAGCATTGGCCATCCCAGATGTTACCAAACCCTTCCATTTATATGTGGATGAAAAAGCAGAGGTGGCCAAAGGAGTTTTAACTCAGACTCTGGGGCCTTGGCGAAGGCCAGTAGACTATCTTAGCAAGAAACTAGATCCAGTGGCAGCTGGGTTTTCCCCTTGCCTCCGCATAATTGTTGCAACGGCCCTCCTGGTCAAGGATGCAAGTAAACTGACTTTGGGTCTAAATCTTATCGTAACCACCACACACGCTATTGAGGGCCTTCTCCGGACTCCACCAGACCGATGGATGACGAACGCCCGAGTGACGGGGTATCAGGCCCTTCTCCTCAACGAACCAAGAGTGACCTTCTGGCCCCTGGCGGTGCTAAATCCAGCCACACTTCTTCCAGAGGAGCTAGCTGACCATCCACACAACTGTGGGGAGGTCCTAACCAAGTCACAGGAATAAGACCGGATCTCAGAGACATTCCCCTCCCCGATGCCAAAGTGACTGTTCACAGATGGGAGTAGCTACATGGTCAATGGAAATAGGTATGCAGGGGCTGCGGTGGTTTCTCCTGAGCAGAAACTCTGGACAGCAGCCCTGCCACATGGAACTTCGGCACAAAAAGCAGAATTGATTGCACTCACTAAGGCACTGCAGATGGCCAAAGGTAAAACTGCCAACATCTATAGGGACAGCAGGTATGCCTTTGCTACTCTCCATATACATGGGGCTATTTATAAAGAAAGGGGCCTATTAACAGCAGAAGGAAAAGGAATTAAAAACAGAGGAGAAATATTGGCTCTCCTCCAGGCTATCCGGGACCCAAAAAAGGTAGCTGTTATGCATTGCCCGGGACACCAAAAGGGGACTGATCTGATTTCAAAAGGAAACCACTTAGCAGATCAAGCCGCAAAGCAAGCAGCCTGAGAAACAGTGCAAGTACTGGTTACACTCCCGGCTCTAGCCCTACCAGAAAAACCAAACTATTCAGAAGAAGACTTATTTACAGAAATGGGTTAAAATGGACTATGAAGGGGACTGGGCTAAGACTAAAGTAGGAAAAATAATTCTCCCTCGAAAACTAAGTAAGAAGTTAGTAGACCAGATACATCAGGGTACTCTTTTGAGGATACACAAACTCAAGGACCTTATAGGCAAGCAATTCCAGGTTTCTAAATTAGGGCGTATGGTTCAGGATGTAGTTGATAGATGTGCTCAATGCCAGGCAGTTAATGTGAGAAGAACTAAAATGGGAAGAGAGAAAAGAGAAAGAGATAAGGAACCAGGAATTTATTGGGAAATAGATTTTACGGAAATGAAACCCGGAAAATATGGGCACAAGTATATGTTAGTTTTTGTAGATACCTTTTCAGGCTGGGTAGAGGCCTTTTCCACCAAACATGAGACGGCAGGAGTGGTGGCCAAAAAGCTACTAGAAGAAATAATTCCTAGGTTTGGGCTGCCTCTCATGATTGCGTCAGACAATAGCCCTGCATTTGTGAGTTCAGTCTCACAGGCATTGGCCAAGGCCGTGGGCACTAATTGGAAACTACATTGTGCCTATCGGCCCCAGAGTTCTGGGCAAGTAGAGAGAATGAACCGGACTCTTAAAGAAACCTTGACAAAACTAATTCTGGAGACTGGCAGTGGATGGGTGGATCTCCTTCCTTTCGCCCTCCTCAGGGCACGATGTACACCCTATTTAAACAAGGTGACCCCATTTGAAATAATGTTTGAGAAACCCCCCCCCCCCCTGCTCTGTCCTCGGCTACAGGATGTTGCCCTAGCAGAAATGACTGATCAGTTTGTACTCCAGTCACTGCAGGCGTAATAGTCTGTCTTAAAAAAAGCCCACGCAGGGATCCGAACTGCCCACACTGGGACGGAGATGGTGGTGGAACCACATCCTTACAACCTGGGGACTTCGTTTGGATACATCGCTATCAAGTGGGGAATTTGGAGCCTCGCTGGAAGGGACCATTTACTGTTATCCTAACCACCCCCACGGCAGTAAAAGTAGAAGGCATTAGGGCCTGGGTTCATGCGGGTCACGTCAAAGGAGCCGAGAGTAAGGACGACCCCAGAGATGGAAGCTGCAGCCGACAGAGCCCTCTGACCATGGACTAAAGCTAAGACTAAAAAAACTGTGAGTTTATTGTTGCTCCTATTGTGACCTGTTCATGTAAAGTATAGGTGGGAAATTAGATGAACGGAATTAGGAAAAAGGAAAAGGTTATACAAAGCGTTGAATGGCTAACTTATCAGTCGACTGTGTACTACTGTTACTTTTTGGCCCCTGTATTATAAACGCCCTAATGTCATTTGTACCAAAGAAAATTAGAGTGATAAAATGTTAATCTTACATGCTCAATATAACATAGAACTGGCTGAAAAGTCAAGGATTTGACTAATCTCCAAAGAAAAGGGGGGAATGTAAGGGCCTGGTTGGCCAGAGGGAGCCATTTTGTTGCAGTGAACTTAGATTGACCCTGCCCCTCCCAGAGGAACTTACTTGCAAAGCCTAGATACAAGGGCAAGTCAGGCCAGGTGAAGACATCCAATCAGAGGGGCGTGCATATATTTACTGAGGTGAGATCCCACTGGCCACCTGTGTCAACCACCCCTATAAAGGTTAGTCTGTGAGGCTGAGGCTGGGGAGGAGTAGAAGAGTCGTCGGAGTAGAAGAGTCGTCAGAGCTGAGAGCCGTCAGAGCTCTTGTAAGAGCTGTCAGAGCTGTCAGAGCTGCCAGCAGCCCCGCTGCCCCGAGCCATGGCCTCAGGGAGCGGCCTCAGGGAGCGGCCTCACCGGAGCAGTCCCTGTCCGGGGAGCAGCCTCGTCCAGAGTGGCCACGTTGGGAGCGGCCTTGCCAGGGTCGTCGTCGTCACCTTTTCATAAGAGACAGCCCTGACCAGTCAGTTTGATTCTTGATGCTTGGCGTGAAATAAAGCTTTGCTTGACCTTCGCTTTGTATCAGTCTCGTTCCTTTGATCACGGACCCTAACAGGTTCCTTCTTCTTAAGCTCAATCTGCTTTCACTCTTGGCTCACCACTTCTTCCCCTAATATGGGACACGCCTATTTCATTCACCCATCAAGACTTTAACGAACATTTATATCAGGCTCTGTAGTTGTGGATCAGGGAATAGATCAAACTTGTGGGATGATAAAGTTTTTAGCCAAATGAGTAAAGTAAGAAACTGTAGGCTTCAGTTATGGTATCCAGCCTGTTTCAAGAAATTATGCCTTGGTTGCAAATAATTTGTTGAGAACCTTTTTCTTTTTTTTTCAAAAGCTTAAAGAGACAGAAACTATCTCTCCACCTCTTCCCCCCACCCCCCCCAATTTAACTACTGTTTGGAATTTTCTTTTGAAATTCTGTTCCCAGGGGCACCTGAGTAGTGCAGTCGGTTGGGCATCTGACTCTTGGTTTCAGCTTAGGTTGTGATCTCGGGATCATGGGATCAAGCCTCCAGTCTGGGCTCTGCGCTTAGAGTCTGAAACTCCCTCTCCCTCTGCCCCTACCCACCACCCTGCTCACTCTCTCTCTAAAATAAGTAAGTAAATCTTAAAAAAAGGAAAAGAAAGAAAGAGAGAATTTCTGTTCCCAGAACGTAAAATAGAAACAAAACTAAGACTCACCTCTGACTCCTTTCAGGAATGTCCAGCACAAACCCAAACATCATCTCGGCAATTTTATTGGAGCTGCACGTGGGGGTCCTGTCCACCTCTACAGCTATGGACAGCATCCTCTGCAGCTGACACACAATCCTGTGTCCAGAATACAGAACACAAGTGAGTGGGAGAATCTGGCAGGAGCCACCCGGCCAGCTGGGAGGTCCCCACCCGTGTACTAAATGATCTTGTGAAGCACACACTAGGTCACAAAGAACTACTCAAGCCATCAGCGTGCTTTTATTTAGCAGTTTCACCTACCTGAATCCCTCTTGCCAGATCATACTATGTGAACCTCTCAGAACCTGTGGTTGAGCTGGAAAAGCAAGCTACTTTTAAATTCAAAAACAGAAACATCTGATCTTAAGGACCGAGAGAACTTTAAGGATCATCTAGTCTATAACTTTTCTATTTTCCAGATGAAAAAAACAGGTCCAGAATGACTGTTATTCACATTTCTTTGATACAGAAGAAAATACATATTTACCATATGGTTTTCCTGTCCCTGGTTCCTTTACAATTATCTTTTACTAAGTTCAGTCTCAGAGCTTCAACTGGTAGACTGTGACCCTCTCTCTCATCAGACCTAAATATGGGAGAAAGCCAGGCTGATGTGGCAGAAAGAATCTAGGCTACCCCTCAGAAAGGTGGGCCTGGCTTGAAGCCAGCCTTTTTAAACATGCATTATTATCTGTGACAGAAGAAAGGGCTTTGTTTTCAGAAAATCTGCAGTCAGTAATACAATAGGTGGCCCAGGGGCTTTGGCATCAGATTCTGGCTCTGCAATGACAAGCTGGTCAACTTTTGACAAATTACTAAACTGCTCTGAGCCCAAGTCTTCTCCTCTCTAAAAAAGGGAAAATAATACCACCTATTCCATAAAGTCGTAAGCGCTATGTGAGATATTGGCAGATATGCACTCGTAGTGTCTATTATTGTTAACATCATGATAAATTGACTTTTAGAGGGCCTTATTTTTATTTCTAGTAACATTTACTTACAATAAATAAAAATATTAATTTAGATTATAATAAAATAATTTAGATTATAATAAAGATTTTTCTCCCATTGAAGGAACAGTGTCTGTCTCTCTCTTGGGTCTATATACTGAGGTTCTAGGATAACCCAACTTTAGGGCCTCCCCTACTCTGTCAAGCAGATGCTTTATTGTTCTAAACATTCTCCTTTTACATATGAGATTGTCTCTTAAATTAGTTAAAACCCATAGACCTTATATGAAAATCAGTTTGGTGCAACTAGATTATAAAACAGTGCTGTGCATTTAGGCACAAATGCTGTATTTGAAATGCCAAGTGTGACTGGCTTTTAACAATATGACTGACATGGCATAGTAGGTTACTTGTGCAAGGACATAAGTCTGGATCCTACAATCCTGGCATCTCTCAAAAAATGCCCAAACCACTCTCAACCCCCAGAAGAAATGCTAGGAATCTCTTTTCAGTGTGGTCTAAAGTGATGGGACCTTCCCTGGTCTGAACCATTGCTGTTATAATCTGTTAGAATCTGCAGGTTAAACTGCTATTCTTCTCCCAGGACTGGAGGAGAGACCCGAAGGTCCTTGAGGACTAGAAGCTGCTAGCACACCCACTGTCCATGACTCCTTCTTTTCCATCAGTGGTCAGCTGAAGTGATGAGCAGCTGTGAGCTGGTGCTGTCTCATTGAATCCCCCCCTTTTTTTTTTGTTTCACTTTAACTTTGTAAACTTACGTTCATTTAGTTAAGTCCTATTCATCTGAGAGGGAAAGCATCTGCTTGTTTAACTTTGGCATTAGAATTGAGCCTGTAGCCAAACTAAGACAGTTTTTAGTAAGAACCAGCCTATGTTACAAAAGCTTGTTAATTTTGTGGAAACTTCTTTAAGGAATGCTGCTGTTCTCTAAAGCAATAAATCCCAACAGCCCTGGGAAGGAAAACGTGTGCCTGCCCCTTACAGCTGATTGGTGTTCTTTGTCAGGTTGGGCTGGGGAGAAGGATGGCTACTGCTGGCCTTTAAGACTCCTGTTCCTGAAGAGGTTTGATTCCCATTTGGGGGCTGAGTTAATCCGTCTTCAGTTACTACTTTGACCAGCCACTTGATGACATCCCTGCAACAGAAAAAAGATACAAAAAAAAGTTTAAACTTCTGTCCTTTTTTAAAAAAATAAAATAAAATAAAATTTATTTATTTATTTGACAGAGAGAGAGAGAGAGGGAACACAAGAGGAGACAGAGGGAGAGGAAGAAGCAGGGTCCCCGCCAAGCAGGGAGCCTGATGTGGGGCTTGATCCCAGAACTCTGGGATCATGACCTGAGCCAAGGGCAGACACTTAACAACTGAACCACCCAGGCACCCCTTAAACTTGTCTTATTGTATGGTGCTCAAAACCACAGCCTTAACCTGGGCTCCAAGGCCCTTAGATTTCCCCAGAGGCAACAAAAAGGGTTCTGAGGTGATTTTCAATATTTAAACAGTCTAATGGAAACCCCACATTTAGTTGTAGTAAGGTTACAAAAGCTAAAGAAATTTCAACATTTTTCTGAGTTATTACTGAAAGGTACCTCTGGGGTCAAAGAGTACTATCCGTGGCTTCCTGATTAGGAACATGCATTGAGTAGACAGAAAGTTAGACTGGATGACCACAGAGATCCTTGCTGGCTCTCTATGATTAGGTGTCATCTACTAATGCTAATAACTGAAGTTTACAGTATGTGCAATGGAGTCATACTTTATGCAGGGTGAAGGCTCTAAGGTAAAAACATCTCATATAGTCAAAATTATTTTGAAGATCATTTAGGTAACCCAGGTAAAAATGGTGGATTTAATACACACTTCTAATTTTGTTCCTTCCTAAAATCCCACTGATACTAGAGTCAATAATTCTTTTAAAAATCCACAAGGAAGAAGAGAAAAGGAAGAGAGACAATAACAGTGAAATTTTAGAAGATGGAAGGGAAATGAAGTATAATCACAATAGAATATTACATAGTACTGAAAATGAGTATGCTACAGTGATAAGTAACAGTATGGACAAACCTTAGTACTCTATAATATAAAGTGAAAAATAAAAGTCCCAACAGATTACATATAGCATGATATCCTATAATATACAGTAGGAAGGAACTAAAATATAAACATCTACTTTATAGGCACTTAGATATAATGAAACTACATAAAAATGGAAAGGAAATGATGAACATACAGAATGCTGATCACTTTGGATGCAGGAAGGTGCAAAAGTAGGTGATGGGGGATGGATGTGTGGTTAGATGCAGGTAATTGTCAAGGTGCCAGCCTCTAATTTGGGGGGTGGCTTAAGAGATGCTGATTACAAAACCAGGAATGACCAATTAACTAGATAAGGCGAGTATGTCATGTTTTAAGGATGATCTTTTTTTAATTTATTTGACAGACAGAGATCACAAGTAGGCAGAGAGGCAGGCAGAGAGAGAGAGGAGGAAGCAGGCTCCCCAATCAGCAGAGAGCCCGATGTGGGGCTCGATCCCAGGATCCTGCAATCATGACCTGAGCCGAAGGCAGAGGCTTTAACCCACTGAGCCACCGGTGCCCCATGTTTTTGTTTTTGTTTTTTTTTAAGAGAGGGAGAGAAATGGGATGGGGGCAGAAGGAGAGGGAGAGAAAGAATCTTAAGTGGGCTCCATGCCCAGCACAGAGCCCGATGTGGGGCTCAATCTCACAACCCTGAAATCATGACCTAGCTGAAAATCAAGAATCAGATGCTTAACTGACCTTGCTACCCAGCTTCCCCTTTAGGATCATTTTTATTTTTTCAGTTAACATATAATGTATTACTCGTTTCAGGGGTACAGGTCTGTGACTCATCAGTCTTACACAACACCCAGTGAGAGATGGCAAGAGAGGGAATATAAGCAGGGGAAGAGGGAGAGGGAGAAGCAGACTCCCCACTTAGCAGGGAGCCTGACGTGGGGCTTCATGTGGGGCTCGATCCCAGGATCCTGGGATCATGACCTGAGCTAAAGGCAGATGCTTAACCAACAGAGCCACCCAAGCGTCCCTAAGGATGATTCTTAATCGAAGTCTGTAACTTTAGCAAAGGGATGGATTTTAACTGACTTAGCAGAATTGAGAAAGCTGAATCCTAAACCAGCAATAGAGAAGAGCAATTCTATTTAGTCCTATTTACCAAAAAAGAAAAAAGAAAAAAAAAGAATCTTCAATAAGCTGTGCAAATGGCAGTGCAAAGCTTGGTTGAAGGAGAATGAAAGGATATAAGGGAAAATAAGCATGGATGGTTTGTACACTCTTTAAGAACATTTTAGACTCTACACTACAGGTTAACACTGTGGAGCAATAAAACAGAGGGTCTTTGGACTAGGACACCAGGCACAGCTGGGAAGCAAGGGCACCAAAGCAAAAGAGCAGCACGAAGTGAACACACACATGCTGAACACAGAGACCCTTGCTATTTCCCCACACTTGTCTTCCAAAAACCTGGCATCCCAGTCTTTACCCTTTCTGTAGGAGACTGGAAGTCTTCTCTGAAACACCCATCCAGCCCAAGAGGAAAGACCTAGACACCAAAGGTATTTTCTTTTTTTTTTTTTTTTTTTTAAAGATTTTATTTATTTATTTGACAGAGAGAGATCACAAGTAGACAGAGAGGCAGGCAGAGATAGAGGCGGAAGCAGGCTCCCCGCCGAGCAGAGAGCCCGATGCGGGACTCGATCCCAGGACCCTGAGATCATGACCTGAGCCGAAGGCAGCGGCTTAACCCACTGAGCCACCCAGGCGCCCCCCAAAGGTATTTTCTAAGAAACGGGCAGTCAGTTCCACCTACAGGGAAGTACAGAAATGACAAGTCCTCCCATGTACTTGCAGCTTTCATCAGCGGTTGAGTCTGTCACCCTTAAACTTGGATAGGCTACCAAGTTTTACCAGACATGTATGGAAATGTTCTACTATGAGAGACAAAGACCAAAATAACCAATGCCAACTCTCCTCTCCCCCTAAAAAAGCAACTTGGGAGAAAATAAGACTATGCAGAGAATAAACAAAAACAAAAGCCATTATTAGTATAATTGAAGATATGAGAACATATGGATCCATGAAAGAAGAAAGAACAGAGTACTATTAATTAATTTTAAAAAGGAACATTTAGAGACAAAGTAAAAAAAAAAAAAAAAAGCCCTTGGAAATTAAAAACACAATAATGGAAATAAAAACTCTACTTTCAGGAATAAAGGATGTTTCCAGACTGAGTGCCCAGAACAACGGATGAATTACAGACCTACAACAAGCATACTGCGCAAAAAGATTCTAAAAATTTTCAGAGTTAAAAATTAGGGCATATACAAAAAATCAGTAATCAAAGTAACTTACGACTTTTTTTTTTTTTTAAGATTTATTTATTTGTCAGAGACAGAGGGAGAGAGAGTGAGCGAGCACAGGCAGACAGAGAGGCAGGCAGAGGCAGAGGGAGAAGCAGGCTCCCTGCCGAGCAAGGAGCCCGATGTGGGACTTGATCCTAGGACGCTGGGATCATGACCTGAGCCGAAGGCAGCCGCTTAACCGACTGAGCCACCCAGGCGTCCCAACTTACGACTTCTTAACAGCAATTGTGGAAGCTAAAAGAAAATCAAAGATTTCCTTCACTGTTCTGTAGAAAAACTATTTCCATCCTAAATATCTATACTGTCATCAATCAACATATGAGAAGATAAATATTTTCAGACATATAAGATCTCAAAAATTTTACTTCCCACATCCATTTCTAAGAAGCTACTGGAGACTGGGGCGCCTGGGTGGCTCAGGGGGTTAAGCCTCTGTCTTCAGCTCAGGTTATGATTTCAGGGTCCTGGGATTGAGCCCCGCATTGGGCTCTCTGCTCAACAGGGAGCATGCTTCCCCCTTTCTCTCTCTGCCTGCCTCTCTGCCTACTTGTGAACTCTGTCAAATAAATAAATAAAATCTTAAAAAAAAAAAAAAGCTACTGGAGACTGATCCATCAAAATGAGGGAGTAAATCAAGAAAGAGAAGATATAGGACAAACACACACAAAAGATGCAACTTTAGAAACAAGTAAAGGAAATTCTCACATTTATGATAAAAACTGTCAAAGAGGACAACCAATCCAGACTGAAGGAGGTCTTTAAGAAAAAGATGACTACCCAGTGCAAATGTACATCTTTAGGGGAGATTTAGACCAAACAGAAAATTTGGGGTTGACTTCCAATATGCACAAAGAATACAGGGGAACTAAAAGCAAGGCAATTATTAACTCTAAGGAAACACAAAGGTATAAATGAAAGGAAAAGTAATCATAGTTTAGTACTTGGCTCAACTCTGACTAGCACACATAGTCCGGTAATAGAAACATTGAATATTGATCTGAAGAAAATTATGATATAAATCAATTAGTAGTATGGGGGCTGGGAAATGTGTATGTCAGGGAGGAGGTAGGGAGGAAAATGAGCTAACTTCTTATCCTTCACATAGAAAGTCAACAAATAATAGCTAATAATGAAAAATCAAGAATTAGCAACACAAGCACGTTATTTAGTCACACAGAGGTAAATATCCAAAAAATCACTTAAACGAGTAAAGTGATTACCCTTGTGGGAAAGGAAAATGCAGGTGAAGGGACTTGGGAACTAGTGTATTTCTTAAATCTTATAGAACTAGTTTACTCTTTGTACGCACAGTTAAAAAAGAAAGCCCCATATGAAAGGGTACTACAGGGACTGACTTGCTATCTCTCCCTCTTTTTAAAAACTACTATCTTTGAGACAAGAAATAACAAATGCTCGCGAGGTTGTGGAGAAAAAAGAATCCTCATGCACTGCTGGGAATGTAAATTGGTACAACCACTGGGGAAACAGAATGGAGGTTCCTCAAAATTTAAAAATAGACATACCATTATGATCTAGTAATCCCACTACTGGGTATTTAAAGAAAATGAAAACATGAATTCAAAAAGATACATACACTTCTTCTCTATGCATAGATGTTTTTGTGATTTCTCCCACATAACCGACTATCTGGACATGCATGTACACAGGCAGGCTAAGGAATGCTGTTTGTGAGACTTATACTGTGTGAATAGCCTTGGGAACCTGGTTGTTTGAAATATATTTTCTGGCCTCTGGGTCAGAACTGGCTCTTCTGTTCTGGACACCAAGGGCTACAATTCTTGTCTCACATGCCCTCCTACTCTATGCTGGGCTGGCTTCCTGGAATGGAATCCTGGAGGGGAGGCAGACACAAAAAGCCCAGGTTCCTTGAAAATATAGAAATACGATAACATGGAAATGCAGCTTGCTCCAAACCGCATGTAGGCAAACAAATTATTTAACTTCAAACCCTGTTATTTACCCTATAAATATGGCCCTTATGGGAATGGTCAGTTAGAAGTCTCACCCGAGGGAAGGATGCTCTGCCCAGGCTTCTCAGTCAGGACTTCAGCCTGGCTGTTTCCATGGGGCTTCCCCAGCTGATGAGGCTGGATGTTGTTAAGTACCTGATTTGTTGTGACTTTGCCTTATTCTCATGTTTTGTCTATTATTACCTTCATCTATGCATAGGTCCATTTCCTTTTCTGTTTCTACTAGGCTTCTATAATAATAATAATAATAATAATAATAATAAAATAATAGTTTTCTTTCCTTTTTGAGAAGGAAACATGGCTGCTGTGAATCTTTTGTTCAGAACAGCACCCCTATGTTCTATGTAGCATTATTTATAGTAGCTAAGACATGGAAGCAACTCAAATGTCCATCAATAGATAAATGGATAAAGGAGAAAGAATGAGATCTTGCCATTTGTGAGAACATGGATGGACCAAGAGGGTATTACGCTAGATGAAGTCAGTCATAGAAATACAGATATCATTTGATTTCACTTATTTGCGGAATCTAGAAAACAAAAGAAAAAACCAGAAACAGACTCATAAATACAGAAAACAAACTGGTGGTTGTCAGAGCACAAGGGGTGGGAGGATGAGGAAAGCGGGTGGAGGGGTGAGGGCATACGGGCTACTAGTTATGGAATGAATGAGTCACATGGCTGAAAGGTACAGCATACGGAATGTAATCAGTGATATTACAGCAATGTAGTGTGGTGACACATGGTGGCCACACTGTGGTGAGCATAGCACAACATACATACGTGTCCAATCAGTACGTTGTACACCTGAATCTAATACAACATGTATCAGCTATATTCCAATTAACAAAAATTCATCTTTGAGGTTTACGTACAATAAATTGCACACAGTTTTTTACTTGATAAGTTTTGATAAATATATGTATACATCTGTGTAACCACAACCTCAATCTAATATCCATCTCTTAGTGAATCAAAAACAACAAGTTTTTCTTCCATCTGAACAGATGATTATGCTCGTTGATAAAAAGCAAAATAGAGGATCTGGCTTGACTATGAAGCCACAAATGCCTATCTTTAAACCTTAAACCCAAGATTACACTCTGCATAGTGCAAGTAGAAACGAAAGCAACTGACATGACTGGGTCAAGTAGGTCTGTCCCTCGTCTTCCACTCAGTCCAGTGCCCATGCTCACAGAGCAGAATGGTTGCTAGAGTTGCTCTCATTAATTAAACTGTCATTTTTCCATTCAAAACACAACTATGCTATTCTGTACTTTTTGTAGATTCTCTACTTACTGGTTTTCTATCCTACAATCATTAACATTTAAGCTACATAAAATGCCACGTCTCGGAAAATGAATACAGTCATGCAAACTAAGCAGGGAAGCTGGATGATGCTCAAAACAATATGAAGGTTCCTCCTTTTCTATTAAAGTAGTTATAATAGTTAATATCCTACATTGGCCCATAGAATACTATTTTTAACAAACATGCAAGAACATATGGGAACATAAACATGAATGGAAGAGTTTCAATGATGCTGGTAAAAGAAAGGATGCTGGTACTTTAGTCTGGTGAAAACCATTTCCAAAAAAAGCAAGAGTTGTAGTTCGCAGAGGAAAATTCCAGCCTGAGATCACCACCCCAGAAATCACATTTTCTCCCACTGATAAAAGGATATGGTGTCTCCCCGCTCTGAAACTTTCAGAAGCTCTCTCTTGCCCTGATTCTACAAAAAAGAATACATGCTTCCCAGCTACCATTTCGTCTTGGATTGTTAGCCACATGACCTATTATCATATATTACTTTTCAGAAACTAGTAGTGACAAATAAGTTATTTTGAGTTACTCAGGAATATGGAAATAAATCGAGGCTTATGAAAGCTGTGAAAAGTTTTGCATAGTTAAGATCTCCCCTTGGGTCTCCTGAGGCTGTCTGGACAATTCTGAAATACACCAAAGAACATCGGATGGTCTTGAGAGAAACCACGAACTAACATAGAGCTGGTACAGAGAGATTTTTCTTTTAGGATCACCTATAGGTTTTGTTTTGTTTTGAAAAGATATTTATTTCACAGAGAGAGACACATACAATGAGAGAGGGAACAGAAGTAGGGGGAGAGGGAGAGGGAGAAGCAGGCTTCCTGCCGAGCAGAAAGCCCAATGCAGGACTTGATCCCAGAACCCCAGGATCATGACCTGAGCCAAAGGCAGCCGCTTAATGACTGAGCCGCCTAGTCACCCGATATGATCATCTATAGTTTGTTTTTTTTTTTTTTAAAGATTTTATTTATTTATTTGACAGAGAGAGACACAGAGAGAGAGAGGGAACACAAGCAGGGGGGCTAGGGGAAGGAAAGCAGATTTCCCGCTGAGCAGGGAGCTCGAAGCGGGGCTCGATCCCAGGATGCTGGGATCATGACCTGAGCTGAAGGCAGACGCTTAATGACTGAGCCACCCAGGCGCCCCAGATCATCTACAGTTTTAATAGCTATCCCTGTTATACTATCAAGTGACTCTAGTCTCATCCCCGCAATGTTCTCGAGGCTTGAGTCGCTGCCCACTATGCTCCCAACCTCTTGTCAGCCCCAGGCTCAGACGCTGGTTACCTGACATTGTGGGGCTGCTTGTCGCAGGACAGCACGGTGCTTGCAATGGACTGCTGCAGGTGCTGTCGCTGTCTCCTCAGGATCTGCTGGAAGTCATCTTCCAGGGTCTGTACCACATAACGCAAAAAAAGGACTCGCCCAGGAAGATTCTGTCCCTGTGGGGGGAAAAAAAAAAAGTATTTCCTCTCCGTTTCCTGATGACAGTGAGTATTGGGCTCTCATAAATATGAAGTCCAAGGGAAGGCCATGTGGCAACAAGTTTGTACCTAAAAGAAGTTCCTGAGAGCAGGCAGTCTACGTCATTAGAAAAAAGGGAAAATAGGGCAGTCTTGGAGCCTGGAGCCTTAGGACTATAGGCTTCCTAATTTTAAGAGACAGATAGCCATGAGAAGTCAGTCTCTCGGGGCGCCTGGGTGGCTCAGTGGGTTAAAGCCTCTGCCTTCAGCAGGGATCAGGTCATGATCCCAGGGTCCTGGGATCGAGCCCCGCATCGGGCTCTCTGCTCAGCAGGCAGCCTGCATCCTCCTCTCTCTGCCTGCCTCTCTGCCTACTTGTGATCTCTGTCTGTCAAATAAATATATAAAATCTTAAAAAAAAAAAAAAAAGAAGAAGAAGTCAGTCTCTCATTGAACTTGACTATCAGTCTCAGGATAAACCCCAAACTGTGGCTATCAGAAGAGAGAGACAAAAACTAGTTCCTAAATGACCCTGCTGGGCTGCTGATCAAGCAGTCAAGATACCACTGCTAAACTTCTAGTAATGTGAGCTGATGCATATCTTCATTGTTCTAGCAAGTCTAAGTTGGGTTTTCTGTTACAGTGAAATGATCCTAACTGAGAAAGCCCAACTGATGTAGGTAAGAATGTGGGCTTTGATGGCACACAGACCTTACGTATTTATTTTTGCCTGATGTTTTTAACTCAGATCCACACCTTATTCAACTTGTCCTTCTTAGTCTCAGTGTCTCTGTGATTTACGTGGTAATAACCATAACCGTACCAAAACCACTGTAAGGACCTGCGACACACCAGGCAGACATACACCATTTGTTGGTTTCCCTTTACTGGGAGACAAGTGCTGGGACCCAGGTCGATGAACTCAGGCTTTGAAAATTCAAAGAACAAGGCCCTAAACCATTGCTGGACTCTTAAGAAGCTTTTCAAACACTACGAGGTAGGTGTATACTTTGAGAATATATACTCAGGGACTAGGGTATGGTTTAGTCAGCAGGCATGGTAAGCACAAATAATTTTTTTCTTTTTAAAGAGGAGGTGGGGATGGATAACCTTGTCTTCCACATATGTGTATTTTTTCTCTTATCTTTATTAATTGGTACAAATGATTTTTTAAAAATCAAGTACTTGTATGACAGAAGTCTTCCACTAACACCACTCACTCTCCACTACTGCTTGCCCCCCTGCAGTACCTTAGAGGGAAATCTTAAACTCTTTCTTCTGAAAGTTAACCTAATCATCTCTAAAAAGACCCTCCTACACTTTTGGTGGGAATGCAAGCTGGTGCAGCCACTCTGGAAAACAGCATGGATGTTCTTCAAAAAGTTGAAAACAGAGCTACCCTATGACCAGCAATCGCACTACTGGGTATTTACCCTAAAGATACAAATGTAGTGATCCGAAGGGGCACGTGCACCCAAATATTTATAGCAGCAATGACCACAGTAGCCAAACTGTGGAAAGAACCTAGATGTCCATCAACAGAGGAATGGATAAGAAGAGGTGGTATGTATGTATTTTCATATACATATATATACACATACACACAGTGGATACTATGCAGCCACAAAAACCCCCGAAACCTTCCTATTTGCAACAATGTGGAAGGAACTAGAGGGTATTATGCTAAGTGAAATAACTCAATCAGAGGGCGACAATTATCATATTATCTCACTGATTTGAGGAATTTGAGAAACAAGACAGGGAAGGGAGGGAAAAATGAAACAAGATGAAACCAGAAAGGGAGATAAACCATAAGAGACTCTTGGTCTCAGGAAACAAATTGAGGGTTGCTGGAGTGGAGAGGGGTGGAAGGGATGGGGTAGTGGGGTGATGGACATTGGGGAGGGTATGTGCTATGGTGAGTGCTGTGAACTGTGTTAAGACATGACTCATAGAGCTGTTCCCCTGAAACAAATAATACATTATATGTTAATTTAGAAAGGGACAATGTCAAATAGAAAAAGAAAAAAAAGATGCTCTTATCACTATTTCTTGATTTATTAACTTTAGACATTACCTATTGGCTTCTGCTGTGCTAGATAAGGATTTAACTCACTGTGCCACTTTCCTGCTTCTCTTCCTAAAATAACTATCTCAATTTATGTTCCAACATCTATAGATAGTATCTCTTGACTCCCCACTTGAGATAGAGGTAAAGATGTTGTAGCAACCCTACTATTCTCAGAGATCCTATCCCTTTACATCCCCTAATCTTTATCTTCTACGCTTTTCTGTTTTCCACTGTCAAGGCTAATAAAATTCCTTTATGCCTTGTATATAAATTGACTCTAAATATTATAAATAAAGTGTTTACAGTATGAATACTATGTTAAAATTATTTACTACGGCACAGGAGAGACTGCTGGCTATGCTTTTGAGAGAGAGAAACATCTGGGTTACAAGGCTCTTTATGTAGGGACTAGCAGTCTTCCATGGACTGATGATGGAAATCCATGTAATAGTATACTAAGAAAATCATTCCTTTCTTCTGAAGCTTTTTGTTTTTCCCAAAGTTTCTTTTTCTTTATTCTCTGTACACTGCCTACAGTGAACACTTTGCTCCTCAAGAATGGTGTTGAATCTTGAGAATACCTGTCTTTTCCAATTTTTTTCATTTTTAAAAAACTTTATTATAAAACCTCAAAAATTTACCCATTTTAAAAGTACAGTTCAATGATTTGTTGTAAGTTTTATTGAGTTTGGCAGCTACGAGCATCAATTTTTAGAACATCCTCATAGGGGTACCTGGGTGACTCAGTTGGTTAAGTGTCCAATTCTTGGTTTCAGCTTAGGTCATGATCTCATGGGTCATGAGATTGAGCCCCATGATGGGCTTCATGCTCAGTGTGCAGTCTGCTTGAAAATTCTCTCCCTCTGCCTCTCCCCACACTCATGAGTGCTCATTCATTCTAAAATAAATAAATGTTAAAAAAGAACATCTTCGTAACTGAAATAAGATCCCTCATGCCTGTTTACAGTTAATTCCCATTCCCACCTCTAATCCCAAGTAAAAATACTCCTCTACTTTGGGCTCTATTGATTTGCCCTCCTGGACATTTCATATATGCAGAATTATACAGTTATGTGACCTTGTGTACGTGGCTTCCTTTTACTTCGTTTAATATTTATTTTGAGGTTTGTCCATGTCAAAGTATGTATCAAGAGCTCATTTTTTTAAATTACTGAATAGTATTCCTATTTACAAATACAGCACATTTTGCTTACCCATTCAACTGTTGATGGACATTTGGCCAGTTTCCACTTTTTGGTTATCATGAATAATGCTGCTATGAACATTCACATGTTAGCCTTTATTAGACATATATTTTCATTTGGGGGGGTCAGTATCTGGAAGTGGAAGAGCTAGGTCATATGAAAAGCTTATGTTTAATTTTTTAAAGAAACTGCCAAACTGTTTTCTGAAGTGGCTGTACCATTTACATTCCCACCAGCAATTTACATGAGACTTCCTGTATCTCTACTGTCTTGGAAACACTTGTTATTTCCTGTTTTCTTTGTAAATTTTTTAAAAATTGTGGTAAAAAACATGTAACAAAGTTTACTGTTATAACCATTTTTAAGTGTACAGTTTAGTATTGTTAAGCAAATTCACATAATTGTGCAACAGATCTCCAGAACTTTTCCATCTTGCAAGATGAAACTCTACACGCATTGAAAAATAACACCCAATTTCTCCCTTCCCCTAGACCCTGGTAACCAACATTCTATTTGCTTAAAAAAATTTTTTTTTAAATTTAAGTAGGCTCCACGACCAGCGCAGAGCCCAACATGGGGCCCAACACAGGGCCTGAATCCACAACCCAGAGTTCAAGACCTGAGGTGAAATCAGCAGTTGGACACCCAACCAAGTGAGCCACCCAGGTGCTCCCATTTCTTTTTTATATTAATATAAGTACTACAGACAGTTCAGGTACCTCAAATTATATACTGTCTTTTTGTAACTGGCTTATTTCACTTAGTATTTTGTCTTCATTATGTTACCATCCATGTTGTAGCATATGGGAGGATTTCCTTCCTGTTTAAAGCAAAATTATTGTTTCATCTTATCTGTATATACCACATTTTTTTACCTAGTCATCTGTTGATGGACACTTCAGTTACTTCCACTTCTTTGCTATTGTGAATAATGCTGCTATAAACATGGGTGTGCAAATATCTCTTCAAGACCCTTCTTTCAATCCTTTTACATATATACCCCTGTGGGAATATATGAAGTGGGATTAATGGATTATATGGTAATTCTATTTTAATTTTTTGAAGAAACACTATATAATCTTCCACAGGGGCTATACTATTTTTTTTTTAAAGATTTTATTTATTGATTTGACAGAGAGAGATCACAAGTAGACAGAGAGGCAGGCAGAGAGAGAGAAGCAGGCTCCCTGCTGAGCAGAGAGCCCGATGCGGGACTTGATCCCAGGACCCTGAGATCATGACCTGAGCCGAAGGCAGCGGCTTAACCCACTGAGCCACCCAGGCGCCCAGGGGCTATACTATTTTATAATCCTACCCACAGTGGGCAAGTGATCTAATTTCTCTACATCCTTGCCAGTATTTATTTTCATTAAATTTTTGTTTTAATGGTATGCTTTCTGATGGGTGTGATCTCTCATCGTAATTTTGATTTGCATTTCTCTGTGATTAGTGATGTTGAGCATCCTTTCACATGCTTATTGGCTATTTGTATATCATCTTTGGAAAAATGTCTATTCTAGTCCTTTGCCCATTTAAAAATCAGGTTAGTTTGCTGTTGAATTTTTCCTTTAATTCTGTCAGTTTTGTAGTGAAATGTTTAAATGTTGTTGAGTTATAGATAGGAGTTCTTTGTATATTCTGGATATTAATATCAGATGTGATTTTTAAAAAATATTTTGAGAGAGAGAGCACGCGCGAGCACA